TCCCCCCAAACCCTTCATCACCCCCTCCCCATCCCCCCATAAACCCCCAGGCCCTCACGGAGCCCCCAGCCCCCCTCAAATCTCCCCAAATTTTCCCAATTTCCGCCTTCACTCTCCATCAATTCTCCCTCAACCCGCCAGACCCTCACGGACCCCTGGACACCCCCAGACTCCAAATTTCCGCCCTCACTGACCCAAACCTCCCCCGAATTCTCCCCAAATGCCCCGAATTCCCCCCAAATCCCCACAGACCCCAAATCCCCCCCATTTCCGCCTAAAGCCCAACCCGCCAGACCCTCACGGACCCCTGGACACCCCCAGACTCCAAATTTCCGCCCTCACTGACCCAAACCTCCCCCGAATTCTCCCCAAATGCCCCGAATTCCCCCCAAATCCCCACAGACCCCAAATCCCCCCCATTTCCGCCCTAAAGCCCCCCACATCCCCCCTCAGCTCCTTCCAATTTCCCCCTGACGCTCCCCCCCCAGGCCCCCATGGACTCCCCGGACCATCCCAGAGCCCAGATCCCCTCACGTTCCCCCGAGTTCCCCCGGATTTCCCCAGTTTTCCCCGAATTTCCCAATTTCCCGGTTCCCCCGCACCTTCCCGCTCCGGCCGCGCTCGCGCCGCCTCCCCCACGCTCGCGCGGCTCCCCATCCCTTCACGGAGGCCACGCCCTCCACCTCGCCCTCACCCCTTATCCACCAATCGCCGCCGAGCCTCTTCCCTCATCAACCAATCACCGCCGAGCGCGGGAGGGGCTACAACCGGAGGCGTAACCAATCAGCGCTCTCCGCCCTCAGCGTTGCTATGGCGCCGCCATGACATTTACCGAGGCGGAAGTGAAGCGGGGCGCGGTGACGTCACGCGTTTCCGGCGGAAGCAGGAAGTAGCGACGCCGCCGGGATCCCAAAAATCCCCGAATTGGGCCCAAAGCCGCCCGAGCTCGGCCCCGAACCGCGCCCGGGTCCCCCGGGAGCCGCCGATGAGCGGCGGGCGCTGGCGGCGGCCCGCAGAGATGGTGCAGCCGGGGCCCGAGGCGGAGCCGGCGTTGGCGGAGGCGCTGCAGCGGCTGCGGGCGGAGAACCGCGAGCTGAGGGGTGAGAACGGGGACGGGGGGACTGGGAACGGCCTGGAACCAAACTGGGAGCACTGGGAGGAGCACGGGGGTGTCCCCAGCCGCGTCCCCGTGTCCCCACTGATGTCCCAATGTCCCCCTCAAGATCCCCGTGCCCCCAAGGTTCCCCGATGGCCTCAGCATCTCCAAGGTCCCCAATGCCCCAAATGTCCCCTGTCCCCCCAATGTCCCCCATGTCCCTGATGTCCCCCCCAGCATCCCCACATCCTCGATGTCCCCAGCGTCTCCACCCCACAATGTCCCCTCACCCTGTCCCCAAGGTCCCCAATGTCCTCTCCATGTCCCTCATTTCACCAACATCCCCGATGTCCCCAGTGCTCCCAGTGTCCCCCCGATGTCCCTGCAGTGTCCCAATGTCACAATCGCCCCCCGATGTCCAGAGCCTCAATGTCCCCAACGTTCCCAAACCCCCCAATGTCCCAATGGCCCCATGTCCCCCGCCTGCCCAATGTCCCCAACTCCGCCGATGTCCCCTGAATTTGCCCAGTGTCCCCATGTCCCCAATGTCCCTGATGCCCCCGATGTCCCCAGTGTCCCGATGTCCCCAAGCCTGTGCCCCCGCTCATGTCCCCAGTGATGTCCCCGCTGATGTCCCTGATGCTGTCCCCAATGCCCCCATGACCTCAATGTCCCAGTGTCCCCGATGTCCCCAAGCCATCCCTGCTGATGTCCCCAATGCTGTCCCCACTGTTGCTGCTGATGTCCCCAATGCCCCCTGTCCCTCCTGTCCCCGATGTCCCCAGTGTCCTGATGTCCCTCCTGTCCCCAGGTGCTCTGTGTCGCTGTTGTCCCCAATGCTGTCCCCTGTCCCCAGGTGCTCTGTGCCACTGCTGTCCCTTGTCCCTGCCAGTATCCCCAATGTCCCCTCTGCTGTCCCCACTGATGTCCCCTGTGTTCCCAGGAGCCCTGTGTCACTGCACGCAGTCCCTGCTGATGTCCCCAATGTCCCCAATGTCCCAGGGGCCCTGTGTCACTGCACGCAGTCCCTGCTGATGTCCCCAATGTCCCCGAGGTCCCCGGTCACTGCACGCAGTCCCTGCTGATGTCCCCAATGTCCCAGGGGCCCTGTGTCACTGCACGCAGTCCCTGCTGATGTCCCCAATGTCCCAGGGGCCCTGGGTCACTGCACGCAGTCCCTGTTGTCCCTGCTAATGTCCCCCATGTCCCCTGTCCCAGGGGCCCTGTGTCACTGCATGCAGTCCCTGCTGATGTCCCCAATGTCCCCAATGTCCCAGGGGCCCTGTGTCACTGCACGCAGTCCCTGCTGATGTCCCCAATGTCCCCAATGTCCCAGGGGCCCTGTGTCACTGCACACAGTCGCTGCGGCAGCGCCTGGACGAGCTGCGCCTGCTGCAGCTGCAGCGCCGGGGGGAGCGGGAGCTGCTGCGGGGCCGCTGGGGCCAGGCCCGGGAGCTGGTGCTGCACCTGCGGGGACAGCGTGGGGACAGCAACGGGGACAGCCATGGTGACAGCAACGGCGACAGCAACAGGGAGAGCAACGGGGGCAGCCCTGAGGACACCACCGACACCCTCGGGGATGACAGGGATGCCAAAGACACCGCCAGGGACATCAGGGACATCCCTGGGGACGTCAGGGACACCCCTGAGGACAGCAAGAACACCCCCGGGGACATCAGGGACACCCTCAGGGACACCAAGGACACCCCCAGGGACATCAAGGACACCCCTGGGGACATCAGGGACACGCTCAGGGACACTCTCAGGGACACTGGGGACATCTGCAGGAGCACCCCTGACACCAGCACCAAGGTACGTGTGGCCCCCCACACTGTGTCCCCTGCTCCGTGTCCCCTCTGTCCCCCCCCCCGTGTCCCC